TACCGTCTGTCCTGCATCTCTCTCTGTCTCTGTCTCTCTCTCTGTCTCATTGTGTCATACGGATTACTGTTAATTTATTATGTTGATCTGTTCTGTACGACATCAATTGCACGTCTGTCCATCCTGGAAGAGGGATCCCTCCTCAGTTGCTCTTCCTGAGGTTTCTACTATTTTTTTGAGGAGTTTTTCCTTATCCGCTGCGAGGGTCCTAAGGACAGAGGGATGTCGTATGCTATAAAGCCCTGTGAGGCAAATTGTGATTTGTGATATTGGGCTTTATAAATAAAATTGATTGATTGATTGATTGATTGATGAAACAAATCAACACTTTTTACTTTTGAAGCAATCATTTGAACAAAATATTAGAAAAAATAGATTATGATCCTTATGTCAAAGAATGTGGAGCACACTAGTACAGTATTTAAAGTATTTCAAGGCCCTACTCAAGATCAGTCGTCAGTTTCTGAGTCAGTCAAGGTCATCTTCTTGGGGTTGATTGTCACATTTCAAGCCATTGCTCATGCACTGGCATTCCGGAAGCTTGCATCTACGACTGCAGTTGCAGGACAGCAGCTGCAGTATCAAGCATCTCCAGTTCCCTGGCCAGAACGGCTTTGCTGGTTTTTCTCAGGGTCCCGTCTCCATTGGCGAGTGACCATGGCAATGGCAAAGCCGTTCTGGCCAGGGAACTGGAGAAGCAAGTCTTACCAGCACAGACCATCCCTGAGCTATCTGCTACCATCATCGATGGGATGAGTCTGGTTCAGAAGATGAAGGGCAATGAGCAGACCTTCTCTCAACTTGCAGACTTGGTCCTGAATGAATGGTTTTCGATGTATATTGGGAGGAATCAATCAAGAATGCAGAGAGAGAGAATCGGGGGTGCACCACAGGAATATAGTTCTGAAACAATGCACCAGGTCACCGGATTTAGCAATGAAGAGGGTTTCTTGGGAGCTCGGCCAACAAGACAAACCTCATAAGGTTCTTGGTGGCTGAGTTGAAGGCACCCAAGCTGAGACACAAGCAGAATGACAAGCAGCTATACATCGCCAGTGAGGAAAGCTGCTTGCACATCACCAAGTATCAGTGTGCAGAGGTTGAGGGCCTGCAGTCAAACCAAGAGGAGGCTGACACAAGATTCATTTTGCATGCAGCCCAGCTGCAAAGGAAGGCTACAGTGCTGTTGTAGTAGCATGATGATCACAGATTAATGCTGCATGATTTGAAAAAAATGTGCGATTGCTATTTTGGTGGACAATATTGCGATTTGCAATTGCGATTGCGATTACAATATAATAAATAGGCTTAAATGGTATCATGAGTCTTCTTGCTTGATTCAGTGTATCCCCTTACATTACATTAGGGGGGCACTGACCTGACCTGACATAGTTATTTCATATGGACAGTGTAAATGACCATCAACAGATTGCTGTTACGCACAGTCAAACAGCTGCTCACACAGCAGCACAGCACGACACTGTACACACACTCAGTTGGAGCGGAGCCTGTATTGCGTTCAGGCGTTGTCACATAAATGACAAATTCCAGTATGTGAATAGACAATTGCACAACACAGCAGCATGTCAGGTTGGCCGAACCCGAGCAAAACTGTGCTCAATTTTTCATTTGTTATCATATAGTTTGTTACAGAGTCTGTGATTTCCCGTTGTCTCTTTGAGGTCTTGTCGTATGGCGTGACACTTACAAATGTTTGCATAATTGTGCTTTGTTGTTGTTTTATGAGGCTCTGGCGGCTTTCAGTTGTCTCTTTGTCTCTAACATTACTTGACTTGGCTTTCTCTCACATGCATTCTTCGTACTTTCCTCTGTGCTGTCTCGAGTGTTGATACATATTGGTCGTGTTGCCGCGGGACGTGGCGACTTTACCTCGTAAAGTTTTACACAGCACGTCTTTCTTTTCAATGTTGCTGTACCTGAACTCAAAGTATTGCCATATAACAGACGTTTTTTTCCGCCACCAACTCAGCCTGTTTTTGGTTGTGCTCATGCTCTTCTACAGCAGCTATGTTGGTCACTGCTGCACGCCTGGTGGTCACGTGACCATATGTGCTGCACACACCAGGATAGCTTGTGGGCGTAATGTTGACAAACTCTGCACACTGTAGGTGAGGAAGTCACGTTCACAGGCACACGTTAACATTTATTCACATTAAATCGCAAATTGCAGCCTTTTATGCGGTTATGTAATCGCACAGCCTGACATCGCGACTGCGATTAGATTAATCGTGCAGCACTATCACAGATGCAGACCTGACTCAGAAACTGATGACTGATCGAGTAGGGCCTTGAAATACTTACTAAAGTATATACTTACTAAATACTGTACTAGTGTGCTCCACATTCTTTGACATAAGGATCATAATCTATTGTTTCTAGTTCTTTGTTCAAATGATTGCTTCAAAAGTAAAAAGTGTTGATTTGTTTCATGAGTATGTTATCATTTTCCTTAAATTCAGAAACATCAATCTTGCAGGTGAATCATATGGTTATTATTACCATAGGCATAGGGATCTTGATATAAATAAACCTTTCATGTTTTATAGACATTCTGCCTGAAACACCATACACATATAAAAATGTATATCTCCAGAACTATAAGGGCTACATCCATAAATCTGGTACCTGGTGAAAGGTAAGACTTTTAAGACTTCAAATCTGGTGTCTAAGAGACTGTAAATATTACATAATTACTCTGATGTGAATTAGGGTGACCATATTTTGATTTCCAAAAAAGAGGACACTCGGCCGGCCACGACATAGCCTACTTAAATGATACTCGCAGTTTACTCAAAGATGCCTTATAATTTTAATATATTTAAAATTTATATGTATGTATAGAAAATTCAGTTATATTACAAAATAATATCTCTCAAAGACAGAAATTCAGATAGGCCCCAATAGGGGACACATACACACACTAGAGTGTGGCGATCCGAGCCGATGGTACCCGACGGGTCGGGCCGGGTTTGGTCAAAAATGTAGCTATAGTCGGATTCGGTCAGCTTTCAGTGAAAATGTAGTGTAAAAATAAATAAAATTCTATTGTCTGTCCTGTTTATTGCTTGGGCACTGTTATTTACGTGACAACACCTGAACATAACACACACACAGACACACATTGGCTGTTTGTTTCTACCTCTCTACCTCTCTCTGGAAGTCTCGGACTTCCTGCCGCCCTCCTCCGCCTTGATTAAACGCTGAAAATAAAATAAAAGAGGGAGACAGGTTTTTCCTATTTTATCTTATTTTGTTTTATTTCTCCCTCTCCTCTCGCTAGAAGCGTCGGACCTCTCGCCTCCCGCTCCCGTCTCAAACACGGAGGTCTCTCTCTCCGCAGCTGAGCACCCGCGGCGCACACCCGGCCTGTTAAATAGCCTTAGCCTGTAACCACTGTGTGACACAAACTCAGTGCTTTGGTCATTAAATAATGTCGGGCTCGGTTCGGGTTCGGACAGAAATATGCTGCCCGTGCCGCACTCTAACACACACACACACACACACACACACACACACACAAAGAAAACCGGACATAATGTGAATAGATACAGAAGAGAAAAATTAAAATGTAATTTCCGCCTATGCAGAATTTTAAAAAAGAAGGTTGTAGCAGCCTCATATTTTATCTGGGTAGCCAATTATAGGCCTACCATTTTTTCAGTTCTCCAATATCTTAAGAATATATTGGATTGATTTAGGCAGCATGAGTAGTCAACAAGTAGTTAACAAACACCATAGCACCAAACAGGCACCATACACAGTCAGTGGGTTTCCGCAACAGGGGTCCATGTTATTCAATGCATGATAACCATCACTAAGCTACCAGTCTGCAATGGCTATCATGCCAATAAATAATGTAGACATATATAGGAAAAAGAGAATAGCAACAAGAATTTGCCCACCTTTTTTATTATGACAGCCGGGGCGCACCTAGTAGTGTCAGACCTGTTAAAACGTAAGTGAAAGGGCATACCAGAGATATTGGTATGTACTATATATTGGATGAAGCGAGATACCCCACTCAGCTCACTTCCTGATTCAGTGACGTCACGCCACGCCCCCGTAGGAGACTTGCGGCAGCTCTGAATGTATTGTCGTCAATGAGGAAAATGAACGTGATCACAATTTATGGTCAATTCTTTCGCCTTATAGTCACTAAAGTAAATATTGGGTTCGTTTTCCACAAGCCACACATCTTACCAACATTCTGACACTAAGGGTTGACGGAGAACAGGCTCTGATTGGAGGGAGAGCTAACCACGCCCACTTAGGAGACAGGAAGAGTAACCGTTTTCTTAACAGTGGATAAGCCTACGGTGGGTATCTCGCTTCATCCAATATCTCTGGGCATACTCTTCAATAGCCTTGAAAACGAACCCGTTTTTCGTTTTGGGGTTCCCGGTCTAGACCGATTCACGTGTCCATAAACGTTCAAATCAAACATGTAATGTACTCACCTCATAGGCATAGATGTTAGAAAGGTGTACGGGGGCGTTGCCGTGTGTTTGTATATCCGTTATTGTTCATTAAACACATATGTCTATGATTAAACATGCATTTTATCTCGGATGTCTGAAATTTTCTTCACCCCTTCTTCGTCCTGCAATGAATGAGTGCACCGGCTTTCTTCTGCGCCACTATAGTGGTTGGGAGGTGTATTGCACATTGGTAGTAAGAGGCAATGAACGTCTTGGTCCAAGGCTAACTCTTCAAGTGCAAAGTTAGTCCACTAAACAAGCTTTTTCCACAAAGACCGCCTCATATCTTTAGGATAAATGTCATAGAAAACGACATGTAAACGTGTTGTCATACCTTAACCGTGTGCTGCCGTGTTTGTTTACCATTTAGCTCTGCTTTCCAAAGCGCGGCCGAAATATCGCGAGAACAAGCAGCGATCTCATACCATGTCTGTCATCTCGCGAGAACAACTCTAAAAGCCCCGCTGGACAGCTGGAAACTACCACAGGCAACAAGTCGGATATCAGTTTGGCAAAGTAAAATGGTTCGTAAGTGTGCATTTCCTAATTGTGAAAACAAAATGTGGCGTAATAGGCGCAGCTTTCATCGATTGCCATACAAATATCCGGATATAACGAAGTTATGGCTAGTTGTACTGAAAATTGATGAAAACACACCAGTCCATAGCCTGCGCCTCGCCGATCATCGTGTTTGCGGTGATCATTTCGATCAAGATGATTACCTACCGACCAAGGAGGGACAATCTAAACTTTTCCTGAAGAGAGATGCTATTCCCAAGGGGATACCTGACCGAGTGGAGCTAAATGGTAAACAAACACGGCAGCACAAGGTTAAGGTAAGACAACACGTTTACATGTCGTTTTCTATATGTTCTCTGACATTTATCATAACGATATGAGGCGGTGTTTGTGGAAAAAAGCTTATTCAGTGGACTAACTTTGCACTTGAAGGTATGCCCGTTCACTTACGTTTTAACAGGTCTGACGCTACTATGCGCCCCGGCTGTATCTAGGCTAACGGCTAACATGCTAACTACTTATGGGAAGCCATTTTAACATTTAATCGCTAAGTTTGACTATCCGGAATTACAATTATAGATATCAACAACGTCATTTTGACTAGTAGTAATGTCATTGTGACTAGTATGAATTTTAATTGAAGATAACTATAAAGTCATTCTGACTAGTCAAAACTGAATTACAGATATCTATAACTCATTCTGACTAGTCAAAACTACAGTTACAGATATCTGTAATTCAGTTTTGACTAGTAAGATTCAAAATATTTTTGCCATTCATGTGTATGGGGTTTGTCATTATAGATATCAACAATTACATTATGACTATCTATAATTCCAGTTTGAGATATCTACAACGTCATTTTGACTAGTCATAATTCGAATTCAAGATATCTACAACGTATGGCAAGCCGTTTTAACATTTAATCGCTAGACTGGATATTCATTGCTGATATCTGCAACATAATTTTGCCTAGTCAAAACTCTTATTCAGGATATCTATAATTAGATTTTGCCTAGTCAAAACTCTAATTACAGATATCTGTAATTCAGTTTTGACTAGTAAGATTCAAACTATTTTTGCCATTGTATGGGGTTTGTCATTATAGATATCTCCAATGTAGTTGCGGATATCTGCAATTGTTATTGCGGATATCTGCAACTGAATTGTGGATATCTGTAATTCCAGTTTGAGATATCTACAGTTTAATTTTGACTAGTCATCATTCAAGTTCAAGATATCTTTAATTATCATCAGTTGAAGATATCTACATGGTCCTTTCTAGATATCTTGAATTGAGTTTCAGATAGTCAGAATGACGTTGTAGATATCTTGAATTCGAATTATGACTAGTCAAAATTACGTTGTAGATATCTGTAACTGAATTATGACTAGTCAAAATGACGTTATAGATATCAGCAACTGAATTATGACTAGTCAAAATGACGTTGTAGATATCTGTAACTGAATTATGACTAGTCAAAATGACGTAGATATCTGCAACTGAATTATGACTAGTCAAAATGACGTTGTAGATATCTCAAACTGGAATTATAGATAGTCATAATGTAATTGTAGATATCTATAATGACAAACCCCATACACGTGAATGGCAAAAATAGTTTGAATCTTACTAGTCAAAACTGAATTACAGATATCTGTAACTGTAGTTTTGACTAGTCAAAATGACATTACAGATATCTGTAATTCAGTTTTGACTAGTCAGAATGATGTTACAGATATCTTAAATTAAAATTCATACTAGTCACAATGACATTACTACTAGTCAAAATGACATTACAGATATCTATAATGGTAATTCCGGATAGTCGGACTTAGTGATTAAATGTTAAAATGGCTTGCCATATACAACGTCATTCTGACTATCTGAAACTCAATTCAAGATATCTAGAAAGGACCATGTAGATATCTTCAATTGATGATAATTAAAGATATCTTGAACTTGAATTATGACTAGTCAAAATAAAATTGTAGATATCTCAAACTGGAATTACAGGTATCTTCAATTCAGTTGCAGATATCTGCAATAACAGTTGTAGATATCCGCAGCTACATTGGAGATATCTATAATGACAAACCCCATACACATGAATGGCAAAAATAGTTTGAATCTTACTAGTCAAAACTGAATTACAGATATCTGTAATAAGAGTTTTCACTCGGCAAAATTATGTTGCAGATATCAGTAATGAATATCCAGTCTAGCGATTAAATGTTAAAACGGCTTGCCATAAACTACTATTTCTATGTCACTAGTCACTTGAAACAAATTTAGGACGATAGGAGACAGGTTGAAATAAACCGAAATTTCCCTTTAAGGTGGAGGACGTGAAAGAGCCAGCATCAGAGAGAGGGCGACGTAAACTCAGAAAGTTATCTGTCCCGGTGCTATTTGAGTGGAACAACTACTCATTTAAACCTGAAAGACTGGGGATGTGTGAGAGGAGCGGGGGGCATATGAAGGGTGAGACATCTCAGGAGGAAAAGATGGACGTCAGTCTGAGGGAGCATGACTACGCCTTAGCTCCGGATTGTACAGTAGTTGATCTCATCCACTCTGAGAACGAAACTCTGCGGAATGAAATCCACCAACTCAGACGACAGATGGATGATCTAACCATGAGGCAACGCTTTGGCATCCACCGGTTCTCTGGCTCTGACGAGGACATCAGGTTCTTCACGAGGTAAGTTATAACGTTACATTAAATGTTTCCGTTACTTTTTCTTAAGTATATAATACTGATGATAAAATTACTGATAAAACCTTATGATGCCTGAAAAATATATTTTAAAACATGAATGTCTTGACCATAAACTTTGAAATTAGCCAACCCCCCCAGTGATTACATTTTTCTGCAGTGAAAGACTTAAATTTTGTGTACTCCAACAGGCACACAAAAAGTCTTCATATTAAAAACATTAAGGAAATATTTAATTTTTTTTGATGTATTAAAAAAAGGATTATTGAGTTAACTGTGTAATGAAAGACTCTGAAATCTTTTAATCAGTCAATAAATAAATATCATTATTTGTCCACTTACAATTAATTCCTGTTAATAATGTAATTTGTCTTTGTAATAAACATGTAATGTCATTTATAACACTAAGAACACACAGCATGTGTAACATAGAAACTTTTTATTGACATAAACTCATTTTATAAATCATGCTGAACATTTATTTTAATGAGTATAACAGAAAAAAAAATATGACTGAGATGATTTCTCTAAAATGGAGCTGTCGGCCAACTGACAGAGTTGACATATAAAATACAAAATAATACACAAACATAAAAAATAAACGTGGAAGCACACAGAAAGCCCTTTTAAACATGAATCTTCTCTTTTTGATTGTTTACATAGAAAACCTCTGGGAAAACAAATCTGAGAAGATGAGAGACTTTGTAACCAAACTGACAAACTTTCAAATAAATAAACTGTGAAAGACCAATTTTCTTCAGTCAGAATTCAACAGACAACATCAACAACAACTAGGGATAGAAGAGTACATCAAAGTTTAACATTGGGATACAAAAATGTGACAACATTTTTGTGTAGTCAGTGACTAAGGAGAACTGAGTTATGTCACCTCCATCAGCATGGATGTCAGAGGTAAGATCTGATGGAGTTGATGTCTTACAGAGTTGACAAAAAGGTATACATTTATTAATTTCACAACAAGTCAAAGTGACGAGCCATTTTATTTTTCAAAGTTGCCAAGAGTTCTCCTAATACTTTTGAGTTGACCTGTTACAGCTGCTGTTACCCAGCAGCAATATTATTTAAGGTATTTGTCAAAAAAACAAAATGCTTACCAGTACTTGGGCAGCATTCCTGCCTTTTTGGAAACCAGGAAGTGAGACAGGAGTCAGGAGTCCCTGCGTTCCGAATTACATGCTTTTTCTTGTAACTTTTAGTAGGTACTGCAGCTGCCCTTAAAAACTATGCACTGTTGCATGCAGTATGAACACAATCGAGACATACTACTTTCTCATGACATCACGCCCTGAACTTTGACCTTCTTGCTGTTACATCTGTTACCTTGGAGATAAAACAAATCCCACTTACTGCCAGAGATGGAGGTCAACCTTGAGGGCTCTGGTGTTGTTACTTTGCAATGTATGTAGTTTCTCTTTAAAGTTATAACTGCACAGATTGTCGATTCCAACATATTATATTTGTGACGGTGAACTTACATCTGCAGTTCTCTGTCATTGTTATTTTTATAGTTATGTCATATTGTTGTTGGTAATATGTGTGATTATTTTGTTCACTTAAACAATCAGTATTCCTATTACTACTCGGCTGGTCATCAGTTACTTGAATGTGCTGTCATCTGTCACTGCGGCTTCTGACAGCTGTCAATCACCTGTCAGTGAGCTTAGAGCTGTCAAGCTGTCATCTGTTTGGGCTCAATCAAGCTATTGTATGCTGTGCAGAGGATTGTTGGTCAGAATAGCCAGAAAAGCATGCTGGCTTGCATACTGCAAAATTGGAGAGGATGTAATAAAATATCCTGGTATTTTTTGCACACTGCATTTGACATACTATGTATTTGGACACAGGCACAGCCTCAGATATAGCGTACCCCTTTATGCCCGATTAAATTATGTTTTTGTTGAAATCTGAGAGAGTTAACAAAAATCTGAGAGTTTTACAAAAAATAAATTTTAGAGATGATTTTACACCGTTGTTATCAGTATGTTCTGTTAGTTTTAAATCTTGAAGACTTGAAGACATATATTCAGTTGTTTAAAGTTGTGGATTCTTGTCTGGGACAAGGCTGTTTTCTGGCACAAGGTAAGTTTAGAAGTTAAAAAAATGAAAGCAGATATTTTAAAATATTTTATAAACACACTTTTTTTTATTTTTATTTTATACACTTTATTAATCCCCCCGAGGGGAAATCCAATTTTTTCACTCTTTTGTCATTAACACACAGGTCCGAAAGACACACATGCACAAACAGGACCTATACATGCATAAAGTGGAGCGATGTCAGAGTGAGGGGGCTGCCTTGGTCAGTCGCCCCGAGCGGTTGGGGGTGCTCAAGGGCACCTCGGCAGTGCCCAGGAGGTGAACTGGCACCTCTCCACCCACCAGTCCACTCTCTATATTTGGTCCAGACGGGGACTTGAACAGGCGACCCTCCGGTTCCTGCTACTGCCGCCCCATATTTATATTTACTAATTT